TGATAATATGTGTTGGCACAGGATCTAAGGCAGAAGATTTAGAATTCATGCTTTTCATTAATGCTAAAACATCTTCTTCTGATACAGGTGAAAATTCAGTCAATACTGCATGAGTACAGGTAACTGGGGTTTCTGAGATTTCTACAGAAGAATAAGAAACGAGATCATTTCGAATGCTCTTGATCTTATCTGTAAAGTAATTTGAAAAAAGTTGAGGGAGCTCTGAGATTTCCATGTCTGGGAGGACATTCAGTTGAGATGATTTTGATTCCGATATTTGGTCCACGATCTTGAAAAGTGTTTTCTGATCAGCAGATTCAATACGGGAGCGGTGATATTCTTTCTTGTGTGCCACAAGAAGAGAGTGATAGTGAGATCGCGCAGATATGAACAATTGCCGATGAATTTCTAAGTGAGAGTGACACCATTTCCTTTCCAGTTTCCTGACATGTTTCCTTTCTTCACACAGCTCCGGTGTCAAGCAACACAGAGTCCTACCATTCTAGGGTCCGGCGGACCCGGTGTTTTAAAACTGAGAGTCCGGCGGACTCCCTGTCTCGAAATAACGGGTCCCGGACTCTATGTTCTGAAATGTAGAGTCCCCTTAGACACTCTATTTCAGTACGGAAAGTCCTAGGACCCTACGTTTTAATACTGAAAGTCCGCACTGAAGAGCAATAATGAAATCTCACACTTAAAACTTGCAATTTAAAAATGAAATTGAACATGATGTTAACTGATATGGAGGGAAGAATTATAAGAATTAAAGGTAAAAAAAAGCATTATTAAACTCTGTTAAAGTGTAACGCGTAGTATAAATGTGCATTGTTCGCATTTCATAAACTTTAATTTGCAGGATTATCTTTTGTATGCAATTGAGACAGAACATCACTCAAGAAATATAGATTTATTCAGAATACATAAGTGCCTTTGGTGAACTTCCTGATTTTACAAAAAAGTTTAATTTATTGATCAGTATAGTAATTGTTTTTTCTCAGAAAGTCCGGGACCCGTTATTTCAGAAACCAGGTGTAGGACAAATAAGTATTGCTGGATCAAGTCTTGATAAGTCCCTACGATGGGTCACTTTTTTGATAGGCAGTGGACGAATAAAGTCAGCTACAAAGTGAACGGCGGCGTGGTCCGATGGGAGGCTGTTGTCGATGCTAAAACTCCGCAAGCATAAATCAGCGCGATTAAGAACCAGTTCTAAAATATGACCTTCTGAGTGAGTGGCTGTATTTATATGCTGAGTGAGTCCCATTGATTCAATCAGATCCTTGAATTTACGGACATTATTGCAAGTGTTGTTGTCCATGTGTATATTGAAGTCTCCAGCTATTATTAAGTGACCTGGTGAGAAGAGTGTATATTCCAGTAGCCTAGAGAATTCTTCTAGAAAGTCGAGAATGGTGTATTTATGTTTCTTAGAGTAAGGTGGGCGATATATTAGAACTAAATGCAATGTATCTTTCCGAGTTGTAATATTTACATCAAGAGATTCAAAAGACTTGAATCCCAGGCACTTAATTGTTTTTGACTACTTTCAAGTTGGATCGCGCCAAAATAGCATATATGCATATACATGTGTATGTATGCCAATTAACTGCCTTTCAGTCAGAGGGGTTTTGCAGGGACTGGTCACCGTGGAGTTAAAATTTGAACATACATTACTGCATTATGATATACGCGTCAGCTGCTAAATGGAGAAGAGTAAATACGGAGGAAAACCGGTCCTTTTGTTGGTCTTTACAAAGAAATACTGTTTTCGTAACGCACGGGATCCCTCTTCAGGGGCGGATTTAGGCCGTCTTCTGGGTCTTCCGGAAGACGGTCAGATTTTCAAGTTTACATTGACGAGTATCCAATTTTTCATGTTGGA